TCTCCTGCCTCAGCCTCCCGAGTAGCTGGGACTACAGGCACCCGCCACCACGCCCGGCTATTTTTTTTGTATTTTTAGTAGAGACAGGGTTTCACCGCATTAGCCAGGATAGTCTCGATCTCCTGACCTCATGATCTGCCCGTCTCAGCCTCCCAAAGTGCTGGGATTACAGGCTTGAGCCGCCGCGCCTGGCCAGAAATAACGTTCTTGAAAAGTAGATGGAGATGCGACAATATTCAGAGAGACATTAAGACAGAGGGCCCAGTCATCTCAGGTCTTCAGGAGTGGGTTGGGGGACGGCACAGGAGAGGTAGAGGAAGGCACAGATCTGAAACAGAGATGGCTGCACTGGGGGGAGGTGCGGGGCACCAGCCAGGTCTAGGGTGGGCAGATGTGGTCCGGACATCCTCCACCAGGACTGACTGGCACCACTAGAGGGCACCTGCGCCTCATACTTGGCCACTACCCTGGCTCATGCCTGAGGTGTGGGGTGCTTGTTCAACGGGCAGCTTGTGCCTTGGCGACTGGCCACAGAACCTGCTGCCTTTCCTGGATGGCTGGTCCCGCCACTCACGGTTCCTTCCACTGTCATCCTTGCCTGACTCCCTGGTGATGGCTGTGACAATCACCTGAGAGCTGCATGTGGCATCCCACTGTAGATCCCAGTGTAAAATCCCAAGGGCTCCACAGGAGTGTGTCTCCTGATTACTGGAACTCACACAGGCTCCCTGCACCCTTATTTATTTAGCTTTCTTTTTTTTTTTTTTTTTGAGATGGAGTCTCGCTCTATCACCCAGGCTGGAGTGCAGTGGCCGGATCTCAGCTCACTGCAAGCTCCACCTCCCGGGTTTACACCATTCTCCTGCCTCAGCCTCCCGAGAAGCTGGGACTACAGGCGCCCGCCACCTCGCCTGGCTAATTTTCTGTATTTTTAGTAGAGACGGAGTTTCACCGTGTTAGCCGGGATGGTCTCGATCTCCTGACCTTGTGATCCGCCCGTCTCGGCCTCCCAAAGTGCTGGGATTACAGGCTTGAGCCACCGCGCCCGGCATTTATTTAGCTTTCTGCGCACATCTTCTTTCTCTTCTGCTAGACTCTAAGCTTTTAATGAATAAGAATTATCAACGTCTCTTAAAATGTCCTATGAGATGAAATAATGTCTGGGATTTGCTTTAAAACCCAATGTAGCAGGAGGGAAATTCTGGGTGAAGGGAACATGGGGATTCATTATATAATTCTCTCTACTTTTATACATCTTTAAAATTTTCTATAATTAAACTTTAATAAACATCGTAGAAGCCCAATGCCTCATACCTAGTACAGGGCAGTAACAGTGAAGCCCTAGGTCTGCTTGTCTGTAAAATGCACAGGCCATGCAGGAGGGGGTTCCCTTCTAACCGCATCCCCTGATTCAGAGGCTCACTGTACAGTGGGCAAGCACCAGTTAGCTTGTGGGGTGAGTGCGTCTTAAGGCAAGTGTTGACCCAAGCGCCCAGGAAAACCCAGGAAAGTAGGATATCTGGCTCTGTTCCAGGAGCATCTCTTATCAGCTATGGGTTTCAGTCCTTTGCATGTCCTGAGGAGGTCAAAGGAACTGCTTGGACCTACTGCTCCGGTCTCCCAGGATTGTCCAGACCCTCCTGTCCAGCTGGTATTGCCACAGGGCCTGGCAGAAAAGGCTCGGATGCCCTGAGGAGCATTTGTTTGCATATGTCCTATTAAATTATTTCCTATAACATCCTGTACAGAACAGCCTCTTCAACATTGCCTGGCAGCTATGAGGGAGAAGAGGAGGCAATTCTGGGTGAGCCTCAACAGGAGAGAGAGGCCACCCTTACCCACGTGAAGTGGGCAGCAGGTTCAGATGGCAGCCAGGAAGGATCGGAGGCAGGCTTCCATGATGAACCAGGGTGAGCAGCCAGGCCCGTGGGGGTTGGGGGACAGCTCTTCCAATTACACAACATCCAAGGCGGTGTGGTGCGTGTGTTGAGGTCACAACCCAATTGGAGCCCCAAGCACTCAGCTCCTCCTCACTGTACTCACACATTTGAGGAAACACTGTTGGACCCCATCTGCTTCAGCACGATGGCAGAAGGCAGTGGCAAGGGATGAGGCCAGGAATAGTGGCCCTTTGGTGCTTTGAGGTGAAACAGACTTACCAAGTGTGCTGGAGATGGTGACCTCGTGTCCTTGACTGTGGCACTGGAGGGGACATCGAGGAGGGGCCATTTCATCTGCAGGTACTGCACAGGGAACAGAAAAGAAAAAGCTGTTGGTGAGATGAGGTCTCACAAGTACCCACAAGTTTGCTGGGCTCTGCTGTTAGGGCACCGGGGCAGGCCATTGGGGTGGCCTGCATTTTCACGCCACATGCCCTGTACTGGATCGATTTCCAAATGATTATAACAGGGGCAAGCATATATTTACAATCACCACCACCCTCACCATGCCCTCTGTCATTTTGGTGGGGACACGAATGGCAACTAAGCTGAAGTTTAAGTGGCGGTGAGAACTGATCCATTTCAGCACAACCAATCAACATAGTCAAAGAACCTATTGGTGAGGCTCAAGTCCCCTCCCTATGCTGTAGTCACGGACAGGCAGAGCTGATCAAGGAAGCAGAGGCTCCCAGACGGCCATCCTGCCCCATCCATTTCCATCGCTTACGACATGCACACACAATGCTCCCCACGAAACAGCTGTCCGGAAGTATCTGGGAATGAACGAATAAAAGTCATCTGCCTGACACAGAGTCATGGGCAACATCTACCCCAACTCAAGGATGCTGAGCTTTACTTCATTATAGCGTCTCTCAACCTTGAAAAGATTACTCAGTACCCCATTCTTTCCCACATCAGTGCAAAAAACCCAAACCAAACAGTATCTCTCCAATACACACACACACTCTCTCTCTCTCTCTGTCTCTGTCTCTCTCTCTCTGGCATGGCACAGTCCTTGCCAAAAGCCTGGAAAGAATGAGCTGAGTGGAGCAGCAGGCACGAGCACTGGGAAGGGCGCTTCTGGGCTCCGGAGCCCTGCATTCATGGGTTCAGGCTCTTACTCTGCCAACACAGGCTGTGTGACCCCGAACGAGTGATTAACAACTCTGAGTCCCAGTTTCAGCATTTGTAAGGCAAGGTTATTATCACTCACAGTACAGGTTGCTCGGAGGACTAGGGACAGTGTCACATATTGAACACAGTGCCTCGCACATGGGAGACATTTGACAAATGACGCCTATTATTTCCATAAGCAAACCATTAGTCTTTGCCAGGAGCAAAAGCACACATGTTGTGTTAGTGTCAACACTGACAGGTTGCTTCTGGGCAGCAGACCCGCAAGCAGCCTCTGCAGAATTCTTGAGACTCCTTTAAGAATGAAAGCTGTAATGGAAAGTGGTGGCTCCAGGAAGTTTCACAGAAAGAAGTCTTTGGCTGGGTGCAGTGGCTCACGCTGTAATCCCAGCACTTTGGGAGGCCGAGGCGGATGGATCACTTGAGGTCAGGAGTTCAAGATCAGCCTGGCCAACATGGTGAAACTTCATCTCTACTAAAAATACAAAAAAGAGCTGGATGTGGTGGCGCAGGCCTATAGTCCCAGCTACTCGGGAGGCTGAGGCAGGAGAATCACTTGAATCTGGGGGGCGGAGGTTGCAGTGAGCCAAGATTGTGCCACTGTACTACAGCCTGGACAACAGAGTGAGACTCTGTCTCAAGAAAGAAAGAAAAAAGAAGCCTTTGAATCATCCCTCGCTCTGGTCATGTAATATCAGGAAAAACCCACCACAATTTGGCTCTGCTGTGTACAGGAGCAGGAGGGCGATGGGAAGAGCCCCCGAAGGCCCCTTTGCTCTTCATTCATCATAACTCTTGACCAAGACAGCAGGGACTGGGCTTTCAAAAAGGTGTCCACGGGCAGGAACAACTTAAGGCCACATGTGTCACAGACCAGCCTAGCACATGGGATGGGCCAAGCAGGCCTGGAGTGGGAGACCTGGTGCGAAGTGGGAATGAAGCCCTATGAATTAGGACAGTCTTTTCACTTTGTGACCTCTGTACCCCCACCCCTCAAATGGGGTCTCACCTCTGTCCCTGTCCTCTGCTACCCTATCTTCTTCCTCCCTTCCCACCACCACCCATCCCTTCCCCTACCCAGAGCCCACACACACTACATGAAGTAACTGGGATTTCAATGCCTGTGGCAAGTTAAAAGCACTGGGCAAATATTGGTATTAGTTAAAACTCATTTCCACTGTGAATAACATTTGTGCTACATTTGCAGTTGTCAAAGCATTTTCACACATAAAACCCAGTATAATCTTCACAACAACCCCGCAATTACAAGTAGGGGTGACTACCCCAAATTTTAAAAGAAGCTAGGCTGGGCGCAGTGGCTACGCCTGTAATCCTAGCACTTTGGGAAGCCGAGGTGGGCAAATCATTTGAGCTTAAGAGTTCAAGACCAGCCTGGCCAATATGGTGAAACCCTGTCTCTTACTAAAAATACAAAAATTAGCCGGGCGTGGTGGTGCACACCTGTAGACCCAGCTACTTGGGAGGCTGAGGCAGAAGAATCACTTCAACCCGGGAGGCAGAGGCTGCAGTGAACCGAGATCACACCACTGTACTCCAGCCCGAGTGACAGAGTGAGACCCTGTCTCAAAAAAAAAAAAAAAAAAAAAAAAAAAAAAAGGAGCTAATGGACATAAGCAAAGGCTAAACGGCTTGCCCAACTTCATACATGAAAGCTGAAGCCAGAGCCTAGGTCTCTTGACTTCAAATCCCACATCTTTCACAACACCGAGTCATAAAGCTTTTCCTAAGACTGTCTTCCTCAACTCCCCACCCACAGCCTTTTCTTTGCTCAGATGTGTTTTCTCTCTCCTTCTCTGTCTTGCACGGGGCTGGCCATCCAGAAACCGGTCCATGCATGTCAGTGTTCTCCTGGAGGGATGCCAAAGGTGCCCAGAGCTTGCACTTGAAGCCTAAACACCAGTTTTTCTAGAAGCAACAACTTGAACATTTCTGGTTTTAAAAATTGAACTGCAATAGCAACTATGAGGTGCTGAAGAGAAGTATCCCAAATCTATAGCCCCTAACATTAAACAGGACAGATGGGTTCCTAAAATCCATCAACTCTACCAGCATCTGCTCCCTACTTAGGGCCACAAAGACACACATTCATTCTTGTTGGCTTACCGGGATGTCCTTAGATCATATGGGGGTGGTCCAGAGAAACGTGAACCCTGGTTTGGGACGGTGCTAGAGTTTTGGGTCTTAAATAATACTCTCAAGTGACCTTACAGATTGTATGGCAGAGTTGGCTTGTAGGACTGTAGTGCAGGGTTTCTCAATCTCGGCACTATGACATTTTGGGCTGGATAATTTTTTTTATTGGGGGTGGTGGGCTGTCCTGTAAAGTTTAACGACGACTTTGGCCTCTAACTATAATACTAAATGCTGATGCACTCCCATATAAATAATCAAAAATGTCTCCAGACTTTGCCAAATGTCTCCTGGGGCTGAGGGAGAGACTCTTCCCTTCCCCAACTGAGAATCACTGCTCCAGTGGCCAAGGAGCTGGTACCTAATACACCATGTGCTCCATGAGGGTTTGTCTGCCTTGGTGCTAGGGATATCAAGGTACAGGTACATTTATATATGCTTGTCTTTTGTACACACATTCATAGCAAGGGTGTTCAGTAATAGCCACTCTTTTGGGTGTCTGACCATGCACTTGTTTTATCTACATAACAAGAAGTCTTGGCTTCTGCTGGGAGGAGACCACTGGCTGTGCCTACCATTGATACTTGGTCCCCTACAGACAAGTCAGGCAGTGTGAGGGAAAAGAGCAGAAAGGAGAGGTGGTCCTGGGAACAGTGAGCATCCCACTGGGACTCACCCTGCTCCAGCCATGCCTGGGGTGGCGCGGGGGCACTGTGCAGGGAGGGACTCACTCTGGGAGGCAGGGGTACGGAGGATCGTCACTTACTCTTTTCTATTCGTCTTTTTAAGATTTGGAGATGACTGATGGGGGTGGAGGAAGAGCTCTAAGACTTTGGAGTCCCTACAGCTTGGCCATGGACAGCCTCTCCATCACAATTCTGAAAGGACAGTTGAGCTTCCCAGAACCATGAACTGGGGCAGCAGGAGCCAACGACACCCGTTGTAATCCTCTTCCACTGCAGTACCAGACATTTGAAGGTGGCCAGGTAGTTCTGAATTCCTAGGTCAGGCCCAGCCCAACTAGAGTGGAAATAAAGTTCTTCTGTTTATTTATTTTTATTTTTTAGTTTTAGAGATGGGGGTCTTGCTGTGTTGCCCAGGCTGGTCTTCAATGTCCGGGCTCAAGCAATCCTCCCGCCTTGCTCTTGCAAAGTGCCGGGATTACAGGTGTGAGCCACCATGTGCAGCCAAGAAAGCTCTTCTTAGCTGTGAGGCCAACGCCACCATCACCCGAGGGCAGTCACTCAGGGTGGGAGCACGTCCTTGGGGAAGCAAGTGATGGGCAACTGTGCTTAGATTCTTTGCATGGTAATGGTATGTGGGCGGGTTAAAACTGCTGGATTCTCCATGCCCAGTCTAGGCTACATTTAAGTGGCTCTGCAAGGCCCAGCTCCTGACCAGTGTGTCATGGCTGGGCTTCTGCACATAGCAAAGATGTGTACACAGGCTGGTTCAGCCACCACCCCACTGGGGGATGTCCACTGGAACATAACACATTGAAATGATGATGGCCGGGCGCGGTGGCCCATGTCTGTAATCCCAGCACTTTAGGAGTCCGAGGCGGGCGGATGGCGAGGTCAGGAGTTCGAGACCAACTGGGCCAACATGGTGAAACTGCATCTCTACTAAAATAATACAAAAAATTAGCTGGGCGCGGTGGTGCGTGCCTGTAATCCCAGCTACTCAGGAGGCAGGAGAATCGCTTGAACCCGGGAAGCAGAGGTTGTAGTGAGCCAAGATTGTGCCACTGTACTCCAGCCTGGGCGACAGAGTAAGATTCCGTCAAAAAAAAAAAAAAGAAAAAAGAAATGATGTACGGCATCAATGCAACTGATGGCCAAGCAACAGCTATCGCTCCCACTTCTGGGGTGCTTTCTATGGCTTAAATACTCTCTTTTGGATACTCAATAATAGAAAGGAAAACACCAAACCCAAGTGGCAGGTACTACTGTCTTCGATTTACATGCGTCATGACTACCTAAGACAGGACAGATATGCAGTTTTCCAATCTCACTGAATCTGAGAAACTCTTTTCTGGGGACTGGGGTTCTGCTACTGTGGTTCACAGTTAAGTAGATTGAGGCTGTGGTTTAAAACATGTCTTTACCTTGTTAAGGAAGGATGATTCTAATCCTATTTTTACATTGTTTTCATTGGAGCAGTTGTTGCATTTTTCTCTCAGCATTTACCAAAATGGTCATGTGGTTTCTCTTATTTGACTCATTTATGAGATGTATATATAGCAATAGATTTTCTTACATGAAGGCATTTTTGCGTTTCCCAGGTAAGCCCTATTTGGTCATGGTGGTTTGTTCCTTCTTATGCTATGTTGTGGAATGTTAATCACGTTCTAAATTTTTGACTTACATTCCTAAGTAAAGGTAAACAAAGTTTTCTTTTCTTTGGGTAACACCTTTATCAAGTGTTGCCATCAGTGTTCTTGTGGCTTTATTATTTAGAGGGGCTCTGCTCCTCTTTCTCAATGTTTTGGGCTCCTCTTAGAGCCTCCTTGGGGTGAGCATTTGGCCAGGAGGGCTGTTTCTACTCAATGTGGATCTCCGGAAGGGTCCCTCCGAAAGATGCTGTCACTCGAGAGCTAGAGCCCCCTTTCCTGCAGGGAGGCGGAGAATCCATCCTACAGACTCCTCGCTTTGATTGGAGCCATGGAGCAGATTAATTGCAGCTGTGCCCTGGAATTTCCCCAACACACAAATCTTCGTGATGTAAAACAGCTGGGAGGAAATCCCAGCATGCCCTGTACAGAGGCAGGACTGCCAATGAGCTATGGAGATTAACCCTCCGGCTCCCAGAAGGTAGGGAGGGCCCCGCCCCAGCCGTCCTCACCCTGTCCCACACTTGCTTAGTGTGGACAGGACTCTACAGGGCTCGGGGGAACGCCCACATTCTCCCTGTTCACACGTTCTCACAGAAAAGCCTTTAAGCGGGGCCTGGGCAACAGAGGAAACAAAGCTTCACGTTACAGAATCCACAGCTCCCCACAGTTGCACACAAGGAAAACAAGTCAGCTCCCAAAACTGCGCAGGTGAGAAAACTCCAGCCCAGAGAACGCCTTCCGCTGCTTCTAGAGGACAGGCCCAGTAGGCAGATAAAGCGCCCCTTTCTCCAGCCACAGTCTCGCCCATTTTTGGCCACCCGCCTATCAGCAGACGCAAAGGGTCCCAGTTTTGGTGACCGGTCCTTCCTGCCTCTCTGGACCCCTATGGTAAATAGTGACTTTGGGGACCCAGAGCCAGGGTCCCCTGTGATAGAGAAGCAAGGGTTTCCCAGGCTTTTCAGGAGATTTAAAGTCCCACTGCCACCCAGAACCCAAGGCTACC